GAGAGAGAGAGAGAGAGAGCGGAGCCATGGAAAAAGAAAGCTGCAGCCTTCCAAACCCAAGGACGGATGACTCCTGCCTCCTGCCGCTGCTTGGCCAAGAGCCGCGGACAGAGAGTCAGGGAGAGTTTCCGACCCTTTGAGCCCAACTTCAGATAGTTGGGGGTAGGTACCTTATCACGGGGTCGCTTGTGGAGTTTTCATTGGGTTACTGAAAATTCTGGCTCTTGGACCTCTGAATCATGACAAGCCCCGCCGGCAGTCAAGCCCGAACAGTCCTGCAAAACACACCTAACCCGCCCACCGACCTACCAACCGTCGGCTTGTCGAGTCTAGTTTTCCTTGCACCCGGACGGTTCTGCTCCTCACCGAAGCATCTGTACGCACATAGCAGGTGAAGCAGGCAGGCAGCTGCCAACTGCGAGCAAACCTGCCGTAGGGATAATGCAAAAGGCTGCTCAACTTGGAGCCAGTTCTGGAATCAAACGCCAGCATCCTTTCGACGCTCCTCAGCATCCTCACGACGCTGAGGCTTCCTGAGCTGCGCACTTTTTGCATGGAAGCGTCCTCTTAGGAGCTTTTTTCTCTCAGAAAGCTCCAAGTTGGACCACTCCGAGGCTCACAGGCGTGACTGAGCAGGCCAGCTCACCTTCGCGCTGTTGGCCTGGAGCATCGTGGCGGCCTGCTCCACCATCCTGAGACCCAGCGTTTTTTCCCTTTGGGAAGCCGAAACTCCCTACACCCTGAATGACTTTGGGGGCCTGCGTCTTGGAGCGGCCGAGACTCTGATCGACGATGGTTTTTGCAGGCAGAACCTCGGTGATCATGCCAGCGACTTGTCCGCAAAGCCACGGATGACCTGGAAGAGCTGAGGGAAGGAAGAGCGAGGAGAGCCAACAGGCGCAAAAGTCTTTGCCGCGAGCTTCTCGTATCAATGATAACTGAAGCTATGATTCGTACGAGAAGGATTGTTTCCAGTACTATCAGCAGCAGTGGTAGTAGCAGCACCAGGTACTGGTACAAGTAGCAGTAGGTCACGATATGAGTTCTGATGATTATTCTACTGTAGTGCCGAGTAGGATCAGGCGGACTGGTCTTGCGCTTGTCAGTGATGAGTCCAGCACGGCATCTCTACAACTAATGATGTGCTTCTTCTTGTTTCACCGGCCTGATTCAAGACCGACAGGAACAGGAACATCCTGGTGCTTTCCTGCCGGCATGTCCGTGGCCGGGGATCTGAGTTCCAACCGAACTTGCGTTGGAATTAGGCGTCGCTAATCAGGGGCCGCAAAAGTTCAAGAAGCCTCCACGCAGAACAGAATTTAGGCTGTCCCGAGTGCGAATCGCATGAAGGGTCCTTCCTGTAGTCTAGCCCGAAGCTGATAGTAGCTCCCCTATATCCGCCGAGGCCGGAGGCCCCAGGCTTTTAGATCAGTGGGTTCGGGGAGTTTGGGTGGTTGTAGTAGAGTAGTAACCCACCCCCTACCCCCTCCCAGTGGCGCGATTTAGGGGGGGGGGGGGTCCGATCGGCTCCAATTTCGCTGCTTTTTTTGGGGGGATGGGGGAGGGCGCGAAGGGTTGGAAGGGGGGTGGGGGGGAGTGTTCATATCCCTTCGAACCTGGCCTCGACTACCGTTGCCGCCTCGAATTAGCGATAAAATTGATTATAAGAGTAGTTCCACACACAAGCCCCCGTAGAACTCTCTTCCCTTTCAAAGGCCCAAACCCCCTGGAAGCATCAGCAGAGCTGGAGAGCCCTCTCCTTGGAGCTTCTCCTCCATGAACTTCTCGTCTTTCTTGTATGGAATCAGCCCTCGCGGCGAAGCAGAGTTGGGTTTAGGGCTTCGAGGAGTAGGGCTTAGGGAAGCAAAGAGAAAATCCAGAGAAACGCAGCGCCTGACTTCAAGCATTCCCTCATCTCCTTGGAGCGATCCTCCTCCCAGCCTGACCCACGGGAGAGCTGAAGAGCCAGTTTTCTCATCTTGCGCCGAGATTAGCTTTATTCGCGACTATGGCTGTTGCGACTGTTGTGCGCATTGCGCTGGAGTAGTTTAGCGAAGAGAGCATGACCAGGAGCAGCAATGGAGCTGCAGCATCGCGTAGCCGTTGCTAGCAGCCCCGTTGCTGCAGCTCTTGGCTAGTAGTCTAACTTGTGGCTCATAGTGATTACTTGTAGATAGCAGCAGATAGAATGCCAAACAAAACAGACCAGCTGGAAGCCTTAGTAGGTATTGGGTCTTAAGTCGAAGAATAGCACACATTAGGTGATGGTGGGAGCTGCTTGAAGCCTGAAGTACTCGTAGAAGGCGTAATTATGCCGGTGAGCATAACAGCAACCCGCAACCATAATCATAGCAGTTGTGCCTACGTTCATCACGACAGGAACAGCACCTGCTGATGGTGATGATTATGGATTATGATTATAGTGATGATGATGACCACCGACTCCAGAGTGAGGTCATTATTATAGTCTCCCTCGTCATCGACGGCATCATCACCACCATCATCATCAACTCGGTCATAGTGGTCTGCATCGTCACCTTCGGTGCCATCATGCGCGTGTATCACTGTCAGTGACATCAAAGACCATTATGATCATTATGCTCGTGATCATCATCGCCAACATCATCATGTTCATCAGCAGCCGCGTCACCACTACCATCCTCATCATCATCATCATCATCATCAGCATCATCATCATCATCACCAGCAGCAGCAGCAGCAGCATCAATAACATACTTGTCATCAACATCTTGATAATCGAATGGAAGAAGATAACGATGATCATCGTCATCATCATCATTGAACTGCTCAGCACCAATACTAGGATTGACCAACTCGTATTCGCCGGTTCCCTGGCGAGGCGCTCACGGAATACTTGTTCTTGATGATTCTCATCGGACGGCCAGTGTAGATCTCTGTCCGGTGGGTGTCGTGCACGCTCGCCTTGCAAAGATCCTCAGCTTTGTCAGTCGTCGACGGTAGACCACAGACCACACCAGCAAAAAGATCATGACCTATCCTTTGTGACTACTGACACCAGCAACAGCACCAGTCATGGCATGGGACTGCAGCTCACACCTCTCGACGAGTGGCCTCCTTGTGCTTCGGGGGTGCGCCTCCCTCAACCGAGGCAACAAAACGCGTTCCCACCCAAACACCATCTGCGCCCAGCGCGAGAGACATGGCAAGGTGGCGGCCGTCCTCTTCAGTTTGGAGGGGTAGCATTGTGGAAACTAAAATATAAAAAAACAACATGCAACACTACATCATGTTACAACTTTATGTGATGCGGCTTCGGGCTTAGATCTCTTATGGCTCGCATGATGACAAGGCTCTGCGATGCCACCAGCGGCCACCACAGGAACTTGCTTTCCGGTCAGAGGAGACTTGTGACCCTTGCACATGTCCACCACCATTGGGATGAGGATGCCTCAACTGCCGGGCTACAATGCTGATGTATCGGAAAAACGGGTGCAACAGTGTAGAGCCGGCTTCTGCAGGCCGCATGTCGCATAACTTGTCTTGGTCCGGCCTGTCGCAACGTCTCCGGTGTGGCCTCCACCTTCACCGCCCTGAGCGCAGATGATGTCAACACCGGACTCCAACGCCTTGCTGACGTGCTTGGGAGCTCCGATCCTCACAGCAAAGCGTGGACTGGCGAAGTTGGTCCCAAAGCACTGACACAACCGTCAGACAAGGCGCATGTTCATGACAGGAATGCCGGCAGCGTGAAGCTTGTCCACCGCGAACTTCGGAGGCACGCCGACGGCGCAGACGAAGAGCTTCGCGCCCATCCTTCCCCAAGTGGCTCTGGTGAAAGAACACAGAGTCCACGAAGGCTCGGTTTAGGGTTTAGGGGGAGTCAGAGGGCTGCTTGCCCTAGACACTTTGCACACTAAACCCTCGAAATCCTAAACCCCTTACTCGAGTACCCAAGGCTCTCAATGGTAATGTCGATGAGCTCCGGGAGGTCTCCTCCGGTGTAATCGTAGTTCGTTGCACGGGCGTCACCCCCCACCTGCGGAATCAAAAGGTCCACCTCGGCGCAGTCTAGGCACAACCTTCGACCCTTGCAGGCTCCGATGTATGGTGCAGCATCCACAGTCGAAGTTGTTCAGTCAAGAGAGGGGGAGAAGCCTAAAACATGCCGAAGCGCGAGATGGTCATATGACGAAGACGATGAGAGCGACGATCTGGCTGCCCTATTGAGTATGAATTTTTCTTTCTGATTTCAATCCAAGCTGCACCGAAAGGCGCATTCTTGTCATTCAGCTTCTCCTTCAGCTCCTGACCGCATTGAAGGCCCCCGACCCTTCGAACCCACACCCCCCCAAGCCTAAAACCTTAAAACCCTACACCCCAAAGCGGTATACCCAAACACCCTAAGCCGCAACGGTGATGCAACTTCAGCTCCTCAAGTTTCGCCCGAAACATCTTCGGCTTGTAGTTGACCTGGGCAGGCAAAGAAGGAGTCTGGCAATTTGTTTTTGTGACCTATCTCGAGCTTCTGAGCTTCGGGAAGCCTTGGGGTTTGCGTGCAGGAGTCTAGAGAGGATGGTTGACGTCGGGATGAAGGTTGCTGTGTCTTTGACGGCATTCAGCACCACACATCCCGAAGCTCCCGACACCGAAAAACTAGATCCCCCCCGCCCTCCCCTTGTCATCATGGTACATAGTGTACCCCAAACTCGATTCTAAGTCTTAAGCCCAGCGAAAACCTGAAGACAAAGGCTGACAAGGCTCACCGCCCCAGACGCCCAAGCCACCTGCGTTTGTAACCTGAGTCTCTTGGGAGCCCTTTGGGATTCGAGTTACGAGGGGAGGGGGCCAGTCGTCATGAAGATATTGTAGCAAGAACTGTCAAACATCATCCACAGCAGTAGGAGCAGAAAAATTCATCTAGAGCGGGCACGGCATCCTGCAGAGTCGACTACCGCTAAACCAATTCCAAACTCCTAAAGCGCTACAGGCTGAAAGCTTCACCATTCTGAAACCGTCAGCCCTAAACCCCGAAAGCTTCAATCTGCTTTGCCGTGGCACAGCGGCTGCCAGCTCGGGGCTCGCGGCGATGTTCATACCTCACGGGCTCCCAAGAGTCCCGAAATAAAGGGATAGTCCTTCAATGATACAAGGGATTGGAAGGAGGAGCGTGCTATCAATCCTTTCGCAACACGTGAAGTAGGCCGCCGACCGGCGAGCATGATCGGGTGCTGAATGCCAAACATCTCCGTTATCGGAGTGCTGATCTTTGGCAAGGCCATGGTCACCAAGGCCCTCTGTGGACGTGGTCACTAAGAAACCACAGGGAAGATGATCTTGGAGGCTGGGAGCCGGCACGGCAGCGGCCGCAGGAGTCGAAGCAAGGACGCGACGACAAAACTACTTCAGATATGACATAAGCTTTACGTCGTCAACGAACATGATATGGCCAATGCCCGCTGTATTGCAGTCCGACAGTACGAATTTTGTGTAGCCGCAGTTTTGGTTGCAGTAGCACAGAAGCAAAAACATCGAAAGGGACTTCGGTGCTTCTCGTGCGAATCTCTGTTCAAAGAGCCACTGTGAAAATACAAGACAGCATAGTCGTGCCAAACTAGGTGTGTGGTGAGACCTCCCGGAGGCAGGGTCAAGGAAACTTCAGCTGTGTACTCAACCCAGCCTCGGGTTCGCGTAAATGCACCTGTGCCCTTGATCGACCTGAAACACCAAGCCGCTCATTTTGTTACTCTATCAGCGCGATCGGACATATTTGGAACACTTTGCATGTATGTATGTATGTATGTACGTACGCATGGTCGTGTGCGTGTGTATGTGGCCCACTCCACATGCTTTGTGTCTTTGAAAGAGCAGCAGACCAGAGTTATGATTCAATCGCGTGGCCAATGTGGGCGGCGGTTCTGTACATTGGTGATACTGTGAAAACGCGAAGCAACTCTT